TCAAATTTACCCCAAAATTGACTTTGTAACATTTAATATATGCATCTAAGTTCAGGCACCTCTATATAAGACCATAGCTATTATTAAATCAGGCCTTGTAACACCATGCAAGAGTAAACCCTTTTCATTTGGAAATTTAATCATTGCATGGTGCAGACTCTACCATTCTGAAACAATTTCAAGTAATATATCTGAAACTCCAGCCTCAGAGGTACAGCTTTGCAGACAGGGCACATAAAACTGTGACAGAGCTCTTACTGTGAATAAATAATGGTGGCTATATCTAGAAGACAATACCAGCCTACACACCACTTGATAAATATCCCCTATTAAGAAGCTCCAGCATTTTACAAGCATACTGGATAGCTAGCAGTGATCACACTGTAATCTATTTTAATTCACATTGAAAAGTGTTTTTTCTCCTTTCAGGAGAGAAAGTCTTTCTGCAGCCAAGTAGTTGTAAACAAAGTTACAGATCTCTGAAAAAAACAAGACATATTTCAGCTGAAATACCTCAATTTGGATTATTATATTGTGTTTTCAAACCTACTGTGAATTCCTATCTTGAAGTCAGCATGCCTTCACTGAAACACATCCATTTTCATCCAAACCCGCCTAGAACAGCAAGCACTTGCTTACCTGGCTGCTGCCTGGGACACAGCGTGTTGATCCAGGAGGGAAGAAGGAAAACCTCACCAAGGATAGCTGCCTTCTACCAGCCAAGGCCACTAAGGCATGGTCACTACTCCTAAAGGACACAGCACTCCTGGCTGGTGGGATATTATCCTTTTTATTAACCAACACAGCAGCCCTCAGCTTTTGCAGGTGGCCTTTGTTCTGGGGCAAACTCAGCTCAGCTGGTGAGCAAGATGAGATGCCTGAAGGCAAGCGGTGGCTCTCAGGAGCACAGGGCATTTGGAAAGCCACAAAACAAGAGCAGGAAGCACAGGGAGACCCAAGCTACTTGGTGTAGGAGAATGCCTCTGATGTTCCTCTGGGCAAAAACCACAGCCCTGCCAATAAAATTATGAAAATAAGTGCTAATATTGTGGCATCTGTGTAACATCTGAGACAGGGATGACAAGGCATGAAAAATACCAGAAGAGAGGTGTTTTTCTCTGGCAATCAGAACAGCTTTGTTATCTCGTTAGAGCCAATTGTGGCATGATTTGTGCCAGGCAAGAGTGAGTTCAGTGCTGCCCTGACACCACTCCAGATACTTTATTTACTTTGAGATGAAAGCAATGGCATAAAGCAAAGCTGTATCAGATAGGAGCTTTATCAAAGTATCAAGAATGATTTTCCTTCCCACCAGCGTACTCTGTTTTCTGAGGTTAGGAAGAGTGCTTGCAGCAAGGAGTCGTGACTGCTCAGGATCCATCCCATATCCCTCACTCTCCCCTGGTTTTATACAGAGGACTTAGTTGCCTAACTCAGGGCTCCAGTATGTTTTTGCTAGCAAGGTACCCAAATCCTTCTGTAGATTTAGCCCTTAACATCCTAATTAAAGAAGCAACTACTTTTTATGTCCTTATGTCAGCTTGGAATAATTTTTCTTAGTTATTGAAAACAGCTGCTCTTCTGATTAGTACACTGAGCTTATACCAGTGTCAAACTGCTTCACTGCAGCACAGACAGGAGACACTTATTTCTACAAAATAAATCTGTGCTAAATAGAAGCAGAAGCAAAATGGAAAAAATATTTTGGCATTTTTTAGCAGTGGTACACAATGAGAAAAAGCACATTCTCAACAAATTCATTCACTGTTGTTCTGACACGTCATGAAAAAATGAGGAAAGCTATATAAAAATGAGGGCTTTTTTAATACTTCAAAACTTCCCACAGAACAGTTTGCTTCAGTTAAAAGTTGTTGCAGCAGAACACTTCACCAAAGAATCCCCACAGCAGTGAGATTGCAAATGCTACTGCAAAAAAAAATTACCTTTTACAATGGAAAATGGCTTGGATTAAAATTTTCCAGCCAAACGGTCTCAGGGAGGCTACCTGGGAGCAGGCAGGAAAGGGTAAATCCCGGCGCTGCAGCAGGTGGAGGCACAGCTGGCAAGACCCGCAACCGGCAGCATGTTGCACCCAGCTGGGCAGCAGCTCTGCCCATCTCCTTCATTTCAGCCCTCCTGCCGATCTGCTGTTTTTAAAGCTCTGAAACCCTTTGAGCAGGGAGGTTTTACATGGCCTTTAAAAGACCATGTAAAAAGTCTACTGAGGCACTAGCCCCATGAATCTCTGCTTGTAAAAGGAGGAGGTGTGTACATTTGTTTGTGTTGAAAATTTCAACTAATTTGGGGTAATTTTTGAGCCCAGCTGTGGGCTGATCTGATTAAAGGTACTTGGTTAACAAACAACACATGGTTTGGCCAAGATACCAAATTAGAAAGAAAAATAATGTAGAGAAACTATATTTTCCATGCATTATTGTGAATTCAGTTTGATATTGGATAAAGATAACTCCCTTTCTGCAAAGATCCATATTTATCCAAACCACCCCTCGCTGTGCTTAACACACTCGACTTTGCAAGATACTGTTTAATGTATTTTAATTCAATTTAAAAAAAAAAAACTGCTTTCAAAATAAACAACACTTTAAATTGAACTAAAAGTACCACTGGCACAGCTATAGACCCTAACAAACTTATAAATATGAAGCAGCTGTGTGTTATTTCAGTAACTTGTATGCATGCTTGTTGCCTTCCCAGTCAGGGTTCCAGGCAGAAATCCCTTCCGCTGGTATGTGGTTAATGATAAAATATGTCCTTAGCACAGGAGCCAGTACAGACTGCCATCGCAGCCCTCCCATACCCCATTATGGGGGTTTAGAAATCAGTGAGATTGTGTCACGTGCATCCCATGTCCTTCCCCAGGATCTGTGAGTCTGGACTTTTGCACAATCTGAGTTGTCTCCAGCTGCTCATACTAACCTGCTCTCAGAGCACCTTTGCAGGATTTAAGCAGCTCAAAGTCTCCTAATCTGGTTGTCCCCTCCATGGGTATACTTTATGCAGAGATTTTTGGAAGGATCGGGTGCTCTTCTAGTTTGTATGGTGTTGCCAGCTCCTCTTTTCCCCCAGAGGACCAGGGAATAAATTTATGGAGAGGATTAGATCTGAGCAGATTCTTGAGAGACCCTGAATTTTTGCATTGCTTTCTCAAGAGCATTTGTAGAGGTTATTTATACAAAAAGTGTAAGAAACTTCA